AGAAGGCCTTTAATATTTAAACTTTATAAAACCTTATATATTGATCTACAGACAGAAGGCCTTTAATATTTAAACTTTATAAAACCTTATATACTGATCTACAGACAGAAGGCCTTTAATATTTAAACTTTATAAAACCTTATATACTGATCTATAGACAAAATTTTACTACCATTTTAAAGGATAGGAAAACAATACACCCACTTTCCAAATCCATATCACCATCCTCTCAGACAAGGTTATAACTGCATTTCTTTAATGTTTCTGGTTACATCTGAATAGGTGAAGAACACCATAGGCTCATTTGACATGTAAAAGGTAAGATATACAAGGTCCTTCTAAAATATCCAATACAACCAAAAGAGCAAAATCTGGGAAATTATTTTTCTTTAAATATATAACCCCATGCAAAATACAAAATGGTGAAGTACCACCTATATGATTCAAACTAAAGCATGCCTTCTGAAGCAGAGTTATATACTGATAGATCAAATGGTTTCCAGGGGTCTCTCCACAAACTTTCATCTGCTGAATGTAACCATTCCTCTGTTATATGAATCAAAACTGTTTTAACACAATTTCACTATTTTAAATATTTTTGTCCATTTATCAGTTTACACATCCATTTTCAACACTAGTTTCCAGGGGCAAAACTTATAACTCAAAATTGGTCAAGCATATTCTGTAAGCACTGTGGAATTCTATTGTGTTTTAGCTTTTTTGCAAAGTTCTTCAAAAGTTTCCAAATTTTATCTGGGTTTCCATTACCAGTCTCTAGCAGATTTTTGCAGTATAAATGTATTACCTGTATAGTAAGACTGGTAACCATATTTATCTATATTATTTAGTATTACCTTTATAGTAAGACTGGTAACCATATTTATCTATATTATTTAGTCCTCATTTGGACCTAAAGTTAAAAGTGTTATAGAGAACACCACTTTTCAATATGACCATTATTTCAGAAGGAGTAGCAATAAAACAAATTTTCAAGATGGAGGTTAGCTTGGCACCATTTTTATCTATTCCATTAGTCCAGTAATTATGCCAAAAATTTCAGAGATATCTTACATGAGTTTGGAGGTATGCCCCACACACTAGTGTTGGAAATGGATGCATGAACTAACAAATTGATAAAAACATTTAAAAAAGTGAAACTGAAGAATTGTGAATAGCAAAAGCAAATCTGGGCCATTAGTCTAACAAGTGTAGCAAACTTCATGGAGAAATCTTCATTAGTTATGAACTTATGCTTTGGAAACAAATATTAATGTTTGGTTATATTGATGAACAAACAAATGAATGAAAATTTTGTAAACTTGTGAAGGATGCCCACACTGTGAGGATTGGTTGTGGTGGATTGGGGGGGTGCTGCCAATAGATTATTTAAATTATTGTAGAAGTCCCACCCAGGGTCAATTTTGGCTGGAAGTTGAATTAGTGAAAGTTAGATGTACAGCTTCTAGCCCCCAGACAACAATACCAATGGTTAAATGATTAAATATACAAAAGGGTGAAATTCAATTAATAACAATTTATTTACAATTCATTAGTCAAATGCTTCAAATTTCCCAAGTACACTCCTTCCACTCGACCCTTTAATAGCCTATTGCATTGCTTGATTCGTAGTGTGAAAGATTTCCACCAGTCTTTGTATCCTACTTATCTGTGTATTCTTCTCTCCTTTTTTCCCCAATTCCTTCCTCTTCCTCCCCAACTTTATCCCAATTCCTTCTCATCCTCCTTGACTTCTCTATACTATTTCTTCTCCTCCTCCACTTTCTCCTCAAAACTACTTTTCCTCTACTCAGCAGACATAATAAAAGCATGGTATCAATTTATACATACAACAATAAATTGCTTCACATCAGTAAATACTCTGATCCCATTATACTAAACAATAGCACAATAATCAGATGCATTTCTTTACATTATAACTTATACAAAGTATACAAATATTCAAATATCCATTCTCTGTTATACTCATATGTTTATGGTAACTAATCTTACCTATTTCAATCATTTTCCCAAACTCACAATTCAAGCATGCACAAATTCTAGCATAACATATTATTAAATGTACTGGTTACTACAAAGTAACCTAATCTCAAATTACAAAATTAATTCTGACCACAAGCTAACAACCTATATAAGTCTCTGCATAAAACCCAAGGCCATTTTTCAAAGACACATATAAATGAAACACTACAAAGGTAATTAATTTAGTATACAAAATACAAATAATTACAATTGTGATGCCATAATATTCTGCAAATATCAAGCACATAACTTACTGACCTTTCAAAGCTTGCCTTCCCTTAGAATCTGTTTCTAAGGTTTACTACCAAATTACAAGTAGCTCCCAGAGTTTAATACATACAATATGCCAAGTTTCATACAGATATCTGGATTACCAGTCTAATAATACAATATACCAAGTTTAATAAAGACATCTTGATTACCAGTCTAATACATACAATATAACAAGTTTCATATAGATATCTGAATTACCAGTCTAATGACTGCAGTATAGCAACTTTCATACAGACATCTAGATTACAAATCTAATACATACAGTATACAAGTTTCATATAGACATCTGGATTACCAGTCAAATATATACAGTATACCAAGTTCCATACAGATATCTGGATTACCAGTCTAATATATACAGTATACCAAGTTTCATTGAGATATTTTGAGAGTGGTTTTGGAGTTGGCCCAGAAACAAAAGTGTGGATGGAGGGATGGACAGACAACTGTATAAAAACATACAAATATCAAAATTAAAGAATTAAATATTATAAGACACATCACAATCACACTCCAATATGTCTACAAAATTCATAGACAAGAGATACCTTGAACAGTTTGAAACTTATGCTTTGGAAACAAAAATGTTTACAGACTGATAGGCATGGTAGACAAACAGGTCAAAAACACTAAAAATACTGTACAAAAGAAACATGTGAACGACTAGTCTAATATGTGGACCACATTTCATAGAGATATATCAGTTTCAAAAATGAAAACATTTCATGGACAGACAGATGGACCATGTGGTAGTTATATGTAATTCAGTGCAATCCTGGGTGATAATAAAAATGTATTACAAAATCACAGTGTGAGAAGTGATACCATATATACACACATATAAGTTGTATCAGATTACATACAATAAGATCCTGACCTGCCATTGCATAATGTTCTTGCATATCAGGGTCTATGTTGTTTGTTCTACTAATTTCTCCTGCACAGATCCAGATCTGCCAGTGCATTATGCGACAACAGATCTAGGTCTGTGCAATTTGCAGTTGGACTTATAAGCGATTATATAAAGTAAATTAAGAGTTCAATGGTACAAGATCCAACAGTGTTCATTAAAAACAGTTATTAAATAAATACAAATCATTTTTATATACCAGAACTATTATATCTCAAAACTATATAGTTACAGTATACCCTATTTGAAACTGAACTCTCCATCTCAAGTCAGGTATGTATGGTAGTGTAGCTTTATCAGGGGAGAAATTTGACACTGTTATGTTGCCCAGTCAATGGAAGACTTGAGATTAGCCAAGCAATGATCTAGGGATACCCCCTTAACTCATTCCTTACACACTCCATGAACTGTGCTACACCTCAAGTGTGAAGTGTTGTGTTCTTCACTAAAATACTCACAGATGGATAGGCTTACTCTTTCTCTCTCTGTAAATACTTTTGACTAGCAATTTTGCAAGGAAGTTGGCCTTTAGTTCTCATCTTCTGCAACAGTCTGCTATTGGATTAACACCTTGGCTCAACATGTTTTCACCTGGGGAATCATCCTGCTGAGCCAAGAAAATATCACCAGGTAAGATAAGATAAATGGTGTATACTTTCCCTGGGTATAATATTGTTTGATTCAGAAGAGGACCTGAGTTATCCATTTATTATTCAAAATCACTCTATGAATAATTTTCAAGGTAGCAATAGCTGTTGTTGCTGCAAGATAGAAGAACCACACGATTTTTTCATATTGCATTTTCTTCATCATCATCTAAATTGCCCTTTCAAATTTCAATCTATGATAGCCATTACTGACCAATATTAGACCACAATGTTATTTAGAACAACATATTTTCATACTGTCTTTGCATACTTATAGGCTGAGTGCAACTGCAAACTGCATAGACCCAGATCTGTCCTCACATAATGCACTGACACATACGGGTCTATGCAATTTGTTAAGAATAACCAGCAGAATATAAACATAGACCAAGATCTGCAAGCACGTTATACTAAGGCAGATCAGGATCTTTGTGGTTTGCAGTTTAGCTCAAATGAGTATATGTGGTTTTTTTTGCAGACAATTTAAACTAAAGCTGCAAAAGGAAATATATAAACAGATTAAAACTATGAAAATTATGCAAAAAAAGTTTTAAGAATTTTAGTAAAAAGTTGTTTGTGTATTGTTCACCATATAACATCTTGGTGATTAAGACTTAGTCTTGCAGTATTAAATTTTGTTTTGCAGTTTTCACCAAATACCCTTCAAAAAACAAAAGCTGCAATTAGTTCCAAAACATGGTGAAAAATACCCTATTTATTAAGATCTCTAATTAGAACTCTGATATCATTCAGCAAAATCAGGGTCAGTGCAGTTTGCACTTGGATTCAATTTATAAGCAGGTTCATACAGCAAGAGCCAGACCTCTATAAAAATTTATAATGTAATGCAGACAGGACTGAATGGGGGTAGACTTCACCAGTATCTTTTTGTCAATTCACCAAATGATATTGCAAATTGTGTGTTCCAATGTAACATAAAGTGCCTTACATCTGATTTTGTATTACTAACACAGCCAAACAATGAAAAGCAAAAGTCTGGTTCCAATATTCTATCACATTTCTGCCAAATAAACTCATGAAATGATGGAAACCAGCCTTTGATTTTACAGCCCATGCATAAATTGTAATTTTCACATCTCAAAAGTACTGTCAGTACCCACACCACTCCAGTGGTTTGTGGTTAGAGCATTTGCTTCAGATGCAAGAGGTCGTGGGTTCGAACTCCAGCCAAGTCATATGAAAGACCCATAAAATTGGTACTAACAGCTGCCTCGCTAGATGCTTGGCATTAAGAGGTTAGTGTTAGGACTAGTCAGCCTGGTGTCAGAATAATATGGTTGGGTGGGACTTCATGCTTAATGTCTGCAGCATGATTCCCTAGTGATAGACATCACTATAAACTGCCACACTGCAGACATCATAGTGATATGACTGCAAAATTGTTAAAGCTATGTTGAAAATCCAAACCACTCACACACAGACACACATATACAGACAGACACACAGATACTGTTAGTAACCTGCACTTTATTAATTACAAAATAAATTACTGACAGTTTAGCATGGTTTTATTTCAATACACGAGTTTAAGGCATCCAAATAAAAATTAATTAAGCAACACAGTCAGGCCATTGTTGTGAATTGTCATTACTGTCAGCCTATCCATTTGCATAGACCATGTCATTATGCGGTATGGATATTTGCACTTGACTAAATGACTCTGGACCTTAGTGTTTCTGAAACCAAAGCTGCCATCAAAAGAGGTTTCTAGGACATTAGGACATTAAAATACTACTAAATAACCCATTTAAAGTAAAAATATGAAAAGAATATTTTAACTGAAAGTTTCAAATGCACTTATGTGTGCCTAGAACAAAAGTTTTAATTTTTAGTTGTGAAAAAATTGAGCCATGAGGTTCGGGTCTGAATCAGGCTGTATTCATGTGAGATTCACCAACTTTTATGAAGGCAAACCTACAATATCGAGTAGACCACTGACCAATGATATCAGTTAATAGATACTAGTGACAACATAATCACAACAAGACAAGACTTTCTGGAGCAACACCTAGTGGATTATCACCGTACAACATAGATAATTTTAAATTTTTATTATTTACTTTATTTTATTTATGTAAATAAAGTGTTGAAAGTGCTGTTAAAAAAACAACCATTCAACCAGTAAATTTGTAAGTATGTATATAATTAATATTCATTTTTTAATGAGAATATTAACAGAGGAATAAACTAAGTTTTGTATAAATGTTTTAGCTAATGACTGGACATAGACATCACCATTCTTGTCACAAGTTAAATTGATATTTCATTGTCTAGCACTGTCTACCTGATTTACTTTCTATTATTGGTTTGGTTTGGTGTTTTGTGGCACAACAACACCTTCAAGTTTATAACTTGACAAGATTAGTTGAATATAGTGCCATGTACAATAACATGCCATGGTGGCCAACAGAGGTTGAGCTGATGGTGGTATTTTAACCTAAATCCTTCTTAGCATGAATCCAATTTCCTTAGACGACTCAGCCACATCAACTCTCTTTTGTGATGAAGGCATCAACTCTACTTATATTGATGAAAAGTATGAATTTCATGGCTTTCAAGTTGTCAAAGACTGAGCTAAATCAGCAAATTTACTAAATTGTCTAATTCTTTTGTGCCCTATATAAAAGTGGTACTATCATCCGATTCACTTTGCATTCGATATTGAGGTTAGTGTTAGGACTGGTGGGCCTGGTGTCAGGATAATGTGACTGGATGGGGCATGATGCTACATGTCTGTGGCAGGATGCCCAGCACTAGACACCACTATAAACTGTCACAGTCTGCAGACATTGTAAAGATATGACAGGTTTTCAGGCAAACAGGCCTTATGAAGGCCCCCCCCCCCCCCGAGTGGTCTAAAGCAATGTCCGTTATGGATCACTGCCATCTCACCTCTGTCTGCAGTGTGTTCAAGTTCAAGTCTAGGATTCCGCTAATGTGGATATGTGAGAAAGCTTGTCACTAGCTTCTCATGGTTCTTTCCTGTGATTTTTCGGATTCTTCCTCCACCATTAATACTGGCCACCATAAATAGCCTATCGTGTGCTGAAAAAAATGGCATTAAACACAACAACAGGCCTTATGAGGGCCTAAATGTGTCATTCTTTGGAGCAGTACTAATGTGTATACACTCATCTTCATTGTAACAGGAGAAACTGGCAGCATGTACTATTGTATGACCAGTCATGTTTACACCTTCCATCATTTTTTATAAACTTAAAAGCCCTTTATGCCTGTACACTTTTTTGTCGAAATTTTGTAAAATTCTTTTGAACATTTGTGAAGGAATCATATAAGTGTTTTTATATTTTTAGCAATGCAGGTAATTTATGGTGGCAAAGCATCTTTTGAACAAATCTGAAATACCTTCATGTCATAATGGTTTCTGTCAAATTATTCTTCTAGTGGTTTTCGAGAATTTATTTTAAGCTTCTTTTATTACTTTCTCTACTGGCTGATTGGTATCACTCGTGCAAATTTCAATTCCCTTCATGTCAGATTGCTTCTTGTCATATTTGATCGAATTCTGTTGATGTTGAGCAAAATTTGGGAAAGAAGTTGTTGAATGTTCAATTTTAGGCAATAGCTCCCAGATTTGATGGTGGATCGGATCTGCACGATTTACACAAATCTAACAAATGCTACATTTGATGATGCTCGCTGTCAAACTGTCTCATATTCCACTGAGCAATTATTGAGAAGCTTACTTAAAACGTAAATGTTTTGTGTAATTTTAATGCATTGCAAATACCTTTATTTCAGCTCTAATAATTTAAAAATAAATGTAAAACAATTAATAATATCTGCCAACTGGACTACCAGAATGATACATATGCTGGTCAAGATACATTACTCAGATAACCCTTTGACTTTTGGCAAATGATTAGTCAGACCCAAAATGAAGACAGTTGTGAAAGTGGATTTACATTAAGGTTGAGAAATATATTTTTTTAAAAGCATACAAAAATGTATGTAAACTTTATGTAAGTTCATAGTAAACCATCATGAAATATCAAATTATTTTTAATTAAAAAAATAATGGATCCAAATTAAACAAGAACCAAAATAAAAAAAAACAAAAACATGATCGAATGAGTTTACTGAATATTATTAGTCCATACAATGTTTTAAGGGAAATGTTGAAGTATATATCAAGTCTTCTGTTAGCTAATTCAAAATGGATTTTACATTGATTATTGGCACATTTGCTGTTTTAATAGTTAATTGAGCTTGCACTTTATTGTACAACATATACTTTTCACACAGTGTCAATTCTCACTCCCTGCTGAAATCAATAAATCAAACTGAAAAGCTTGCCTGAATTTCAAATTTCAAATTTATGATTCAGTCCCATCTTGCAATAAACACTTTAAGGGACCATAAATCATGGCACAAGGCAATAATATTTCTATCTATTCAATGTGACTTGTATGATTTAGCTCCCTCATTTACATCAAATTGAAAATGGGTTTCACTTTTTACCACATACTGAAAATCAATTTAAAGTTTGAAATTGAAATCTTTTTTAATGATAAAGTTATCTCATGCCCCATACTGCGTGATAAGATCTAAAACAGAAGAGCACCATTATCTCATACATGGCAGATATGTACTTACTGTACACATTCCCGAGTCAAAAAGTCACTAAAAGAAATCTGTCTCTGTGCGATACTGGTGTGGCAAAATTACTCCATGCATACTAACCTGATAGATAACGATGGTTTTCAAGAATTGTGCTCGTGCATTTTTAAGTGTTAATTTTACACAGGAGCACCTTTTCAATCCTAGCACACTGAGATAGAAAGAAGGAGAAATAGAGAGATGCTTTAAATTAGTTTGCATGCAAAACTAATTTGTACAAGCCAAGGATTGTTTTAAAACCTTTTTAAATCTTTTTTTAATTTACAGATTTTGAAGTGTTGTCAGAGAGATAAACATAGATTTTAATTAGACATACTATCTGTACCTGCTTATAGGTCAAGTCAAACTCTATCTGTACCTGCTTATAGGTCAAGTCAAACTCCATCTGTACCTGCTTATAGGTCAAGTCCAGCTCAATACAACAAAGATCCAGATCTGCTGTAGCATAATGCCAATGCAGATCAAGGTCTATGCTGCTTGTTCTACAGATCACTTCTAACAAACTGCACAGACCCAGATCTTCTGGAACATTATTCAACAGCAGATCTTGAGCTGTATAGTTTGTAGTTGGTCTCATCTTATAAGCATTTGTTTTCTAAAATGTACAAGTGAAAAACAAATTTTTCAGATCTGACTTGTACTACCAGTAATTTTTATTTTATTAGTTTTATTTTATTCTCTTCCAGTTTTATTTATTTTGGTAATGTAAATGTGAATAATCTGTAATTTGCCTCCTTTTTCAATGCTATGATAAAGATCATACAAAACTGTATTTCTGCTGTATTTTATCTGGCATTGGTTTTGCTTTTGAAGTGACACGTTGGGTACCTAGCTACATGACATAAAAACACCTATATATACTTTAGACAAAGAAGTTTCTTAGTAATTGTGAAGTGAATTTTGTTTGAGAATGTGTCAAGTCTTCAACTAGATCTTGCTAATTATATAGAAAAGGAAGCAAACCAAATTTTACCCTTTCCCAACTCAACACATAAGAAACCCTTTCAGTGCTAAGGTGCCTCATGTACTCTGCTGTGCCTGCTCTGTAGAAACAAGTGCAAACTGGGAATCAGCATTTGTCTGAAATGTTTAAATATCTGAAGGTAAAACAAATGTGATCCCCAGTTCTTTTTCTGTGGTTTTTTTTTTTGGTCTGGTCCAATCAATAATCCCATTCTACTATTTCTATTCACTAATTGGATCCAAATTGCAAAAATTGTACATTCATATGCTGTATTTCATATTGTAACATGAAATTATTACAGTACCTTAAAACTGAAAACATTGTACAATACTCAATCACTCATTATATTGCTCCTCATGGCAGTGATGGAGTATTCCAATTTAAAGTGAAACCACCTTAATGATGTATACAACATACCATATATATTCACTTATAAGTCCAGTGGAAATTTAAACTGCACAGACTCACATATACCATTGCATAATGTGCTGGCAGATCTGGGTCTGCAGAATTTGTGTGGAGTAATCAGTAAAACCAACAATATTGACCCTTATCTGCAGGCACCTTCTG